TCTTCATTTTCTACTCCAGAAAATGTCAGGGGGCTATTTGTGTCTTTTTCAGGTATCTTAATTCCCCTGAATCAGTCATCTTCTACATATGTCTGGACGACATATGTCATGAGTAATGAATTCAGTAATAACAGAACATAAAAGCAGATTCCATCAAGAAAAGTAAAAATGTTTCCAAAATACACAAAATTGGGGGTAAACTTAAAATTTCTACTTTATATTCATATAAACAAACCTATTTGAATAGTGTGCTACTGTATCTGAGAAGTTTTTAAAGCAATATTTCACATTATTTAAGTATATATTTTCATTCAAATCCAAGAGGCTTGTGGAAATGGGATATTCTAGGATGTTTAGGATTATTTTTAAAGAAAAAATTACAATCATTGCAACCTATAAAACACTTAGTTAATTCACAAAATATAAGAAGAAAACTATACTCAAAATGGGTTATAATCAGTTAAAAGTCAAATAAAATTTTCAAACAAAAATTAAATAAAACCAATCCAAAGCTAGAATGAAATCAGAAAAACTGAAAACTACATAGGTAAATTACTGAACAGGTTAAACAAGAAGAGACTAAATAAATGATTTTATTAAGAGAAAAACTATCAGTGGATAGGTGTTTCAACTAGAGACACCAGGTATACGAAAATAAAAGAAATAGGAAATTACAGTCATAACTTTGTGTTTGATATAATTAAAATTATACGAAGATTGTGGTATGCTAATTAATTTACAACAAAACATAAATGATGTGGAAATGTTCTCCTAATTTGGCATATTTTTTCTTTGTTGTCCTTTAAATGTCATTTTACGGCTACAGTGACAGTGTTCAAAAATATGTCTGCAAAGAAACAATGAAAAAAATACCAGGGAGCTCAAATATTTTTGTAAATGACCCTGAGTTAATTAGAAAAATCTGCACCCTTCCCAGTTCTTCTTCTCATGTGTCAGCTCTCATTAAATTAAAAAAAAAAAAAAATTCATTTCAAAGTTAAGAAATCCTATAGTTAACAAAACTGGGATCAAGTGGGCACATTCCTAAGTTTCTGTATGATGTCATATTAAGCAGTTCACAGCTGAATCTGAATTTGCAAGAAGTATGAATTAGTTTTCAATAGAAGACATATCTGATCTAATGGTAATTTTTTTCTCTATCGGCTAACTGTGCTGGGAACAGGTGGCCCTGCTTTCAATTATGGCGGGCTAGCATGCCAGTGTGAGGCCTGGATTAGTTCACCTTCTCACGGGGAATTTTCCTCGGTTGGGAATGGATTTATTATGGCTTCACACATGGAATAGAGCTCATGTCAGCTGAGGGCAGTGACACATCATATGATTCAAATTAACCTGCTGTGGATTGTTCCGCGGGCCTTAGATTGTGTATTAAAATGACGACATTTAAAAAAACAGCTTGAAAGAAACCAGGATTGCCGCACTGCAATGGTTCCAATTTGTTCCAACTAATCTATCACCTGCTGGAGATATTGTTCTGCTGGGTTTCTGGTAGCTGCTGTTTTCCAGGTTTCTCCAAGCCACTGACCTTGCTAATGGGTAGTACAGTTGTTGCCTCTGAAGGAAGGAGGTCGGGGTTGGGAGAGCTTTGAAGGGGTTTTTGATGTAGAAGTTGGGACCTACCATTTGCTCTAAGGTACTATTAAGTGAACAGAGGAAATCAGGGAATACTCAAGAACACTGAAGTATTTTTTCCAAAAACAGATGCTAAAGAGCAGCATATGCACCACCTTGTTTAGATAAAATAATCCCTGGAAAAAACATCCGACAGGATGAATTCAAAAGCTGTTAAGTTTGCACCTTTATGAAGAAAATTTAAGGTTGGGTAGTTATAATCGGTATTTCCTCTACTCTTCAGCGTCATAACTTCTTTGTTACTGAAACCTTAATTCAAGAGCAAGAAAAGAAGAAACGAAAATATACTATTTTAGAGATGGAGCATTGCAGCATAAAGCATTCTTTGGGAATGGTACTTAAATAAGATGTGCATATAGATTAAAATAAACAATAAAACAATCTTTTGGTATCAAAAGATTCTTAACGATAATACTGCATAAAACTTAGAAGCATTATTTTCAATATTAAAAAAAAGGCCTTTTTATTTTTTAAGGGAAGAGGATAGTATTGGGGAATATTATAAAGCTGAAGTTTGTTCCCCCAGTCTTAGCATAAATAATATTGCTCTTAATATACTATTATGTAAAATCTGGAAATATATATTTCTTGAGTTGCCAAAAATCTATAAAATAATACATTCCTACAGCAAGAAATGCTTTATTATGTCCTGTTATTCCTATTGATCTCTCAATTAATATAGTGTAGCTGTATAGTGAGAGAATACAATTATATTATGTAATAACATCTACTTACATACTTTATATAACAAATTGTTTAAGGAATTTTTTGTCTAAGGTAGTAAATTCTGGAGTAGTTCAAGGCTGTTAGGTTAATGTTCTAGTGGAATCCCACAGAACTGACATATCATTCAAAGTAATCTTCCCTCAAATAATTTATGAAAGAAAAGTGCTCTTGGTTAAAATGTTTTAAGACTTTGAAGAACTTAAACCATTTATTGGACATTGTATTTGATTTTTCATAATAAAAGTACCATTTAAAAAACCATTCATCATTGTTTGTATCATCCCCCTCTCCTGTGCCCCAACATATCTGCATTTTGAGTCTCAGTAATTGTTATTGATGGTATTAAGAAAGTCATATATATATATATATTATTAATATATGAGTCAAATAAAATCTTGGTACAAAATGTGTTATCCCCAGATCAACAGTACCCATTTCACCTGGGAGCTTGTTAGAAATGTAGAATTTCATCCCTATTAAGTCACATTTGCATTTAACCAGCTCCCCAGAGATGCTCAAATGCACACTCCAGTTTGAGAAGCATGGCTGTAAAATAACTATTTCAATTCATTAATTTAAAAGTTTGAATCTCCAGATATATTATCACTATTATTGAATGGGCATAAAATTAGAAATGGCATATATGTAGTTTCCAGTTTTAAGAAGTATAAGAAATATAAACGTACAACTATTGTAAAAATCGCACTTCTGCTACATAGTCACATTGAATGACAGAATGATAAACATATAATTTTTCATTTGTTCATTGACATTTCTCTTAAAGTTCAATTTATTTGGTAGCCATGAAAATATGGTACACAATTTACCACTGACTTGAAGATCCCATCCCTTTTACAAACAAATCAATCAAATGTAAACTAGAAGGGAACTTTTTAGCCAAAAGGTGAAAGACTGTGCCTGAAAGCAAAAGAAATCTGACACTAAAAGAGAGAAAAAAGAAGTAAATGCAAGTTTCCCTGTCACTTGTCCATGAACTACCCTTATGTTCTTACCCTATTTCGTTCATTCCAGCATGGTGTCTTTTGCCCTGCAACTGATGCAGTAAGAAAGCACTGTATCATAGCTCAAATAGCAGATATTTTTTCTTTTTCCTTAGTGGTATGCAAAATGTTTTTTCCTACAATTGATGGTTGCTTGAATTCAGTGAAATATGGTACTTCACACTCACTAACCAAGTATGCGGACTCACACTCCTTTCAATCATCCAGCTCACCCCAAAGGATTCTTCGAACTTTAATGACTCCCTTAGCCTTATCATCAGCTTCTTTACTTCCTTTGCGTCTTTAAAACCACAGCTAGATACTAATGATTAGAACTAGTTCTTCATATTCCTCCTATACCTTTTAAATTCCAGCACTGGAAAAACATGCTTAAGAAGAACTGACCTAGAGTGAAAGGGCCAACTGAGGTGGTTTCAGGCTCTTTCTATTCCAGATGTGATGATGGGCCACCTTTCCTATCTGTAGTCATAGATCGTAAGTGCACCAGCATGCACACAAACTGAATCAGGTCCACAGAGTGATAGTTTTCAATCATCAAAATACATGCCTTGCAGAGTACTGCTAGAGATCTTAAGACAGTGTAACACCATTGTTTTAAATTCGTAATGAAGAAACTAGTATTCCTTTAATGACTAACAGGTTCTGCAGCACTGTAAATATAACATAACAAAAGGGAAACTGAATGTAGTAATTTCTGTTAAATAAATAGCTAAGACCTCATGGAGGTAAGGGAAGAGTAACAAAGAAAAGAAAAGGAGGAACATGAGAAGGAAGAAGAAATAGAGTAGGAAAAAGAAAGAGGAGGAGAAGGAGATGGAGAAGAAAGAAAAAAATCTTTAGTTATGCTAAAATTAGTGCAGTATAAAAGTGATCTAGGTCTTTGGAGTCATAAAGACCAGAGTTTGAATGGCTCCTCTGCTACTGTGATCTTGGGCAATTTACTTCATTTTTCTAAGTCTTAGCTTCCTTATTCATAAAGTAGGGATAATTATAGGGCCTACTTCTTGGGTTTATACAAGTATGTAAAGCACTTAGTACCTGGGACATAATAAGCACTCAATATCTTTTGATATCTATATCTACCTATTTAAAATTGAGTGTTAATATGTCCTAAGCACTTTGCTAAGCATTTGAAATAAGTGTATTTATCTATCTAATCCAATCCACTTATGTATATTATCTTATGTATGTATGTCATGTACCCTATCCACCTAACCATCCATCTACCCACCCACCCATCTATCCACCCATCATCTATTTTATTCTCTTCATTTACAGGGAAGGAAACTGAGGCACAGGAGATTAGATAACTGCCTAAGGTCCCACGATTAGTAGAAAAGGTAGAAATAAAATCTTGAGTCTTTGGCTTCCAGTCAATTATTTTTTAATTGATAACTACTTTTTGTCAGACTAAAGGTAATTTTTAATGTATATTAATATTTGCCTTTTGATCTCTAGAATGGGCAGCCTGAGAAGAGTACACGTCTGGAAGACAAATGAATTACTCATTTCTGGCAAGGAATGTCAGGATTGTTAACAGACCCTATGTACACGTTAATAGACTCATACAAAAAAAAGTTTGAATTACGACTTTCTTACCTGGTCCATTAAGAAAATCTTTAATTTGTAGCATTACAAGTGAAGGTGGAATACCACTTTTGCTGTCTATTTCTCCAGGTACTGTCTGCAACCAAACTGTGCAGTAATCAAGGGCTTCAGGCAAAGTCTTCCCAGGATCTGAAGAGGCAAAATTAAAATTAAAAATGTCAATTACAACACAAACATCAATTTTGGTGTAAGAGTTTGAGCTGATAAGCAAGAGGAAAAAAATGGTTAAAATATTGTATGTAACCTTCATTAATGCATTTGTTTGTATACATACAGTACACAAATACTTGTATGAAGAAAGAGACACTCTCTCTCTACAGGTAGAATGACAAAACCATGTTTTCCAGAACCAGGCCAAAGAGGAAAAGATATTTCAAATCTTAACTCATATCATCTTTGAGTGAAGGTAAAGCTTCTGTACTCTGAGCTGCTGACTGTTAACAGTTGAATAGATTTTTTTTTTTTTTAAATGGGATGTTGGAAACAAGTTGAAGAAAAAAAGGGCAACCTTTTCAGCTTAAAAAGAGGCATATACATGTTCAAAGATGCAGTGGATTAGTACTACTTAGGGGTTATTTGATCTGTTTCAGAGTTTTACTGACATTACAATCACTTTTACTGCTAGCCTTTTGAAGTTAACTTCAGTAGCTTTCCCATAACCTTCTTAAATGATAAAATTGGTCAATCTTTTAATAGTTCCAATTATGACTAAAAGTTGACTTTTTTCAGTTTTGACTTTTTCTATTAAATACTGTGTATTTTAAACTTTTTTTAAGGTTAATATTGTATATATTTTGTAAGGTTTCATTCAGCTATTGGTGATGGCAAATGGAATTAGCTTTTTAATGCTTGGCAATCCACAGTTTTTATTGAAATAGCTCTTTAAATAAAAACAACTGCTGTGTCTTGGCATACAATATAGTAGGCTTTTAAAAATCTTCTAAATATTCACAGTTTTTCTTTAGTTTCAGGATTGTTTTACTCTCTGGGTTTTAATGGCCTCTGAATGTCAATTTTATAGGGATGTTCTTGCCACAGAGTCCATCTATTCCATTTTCAGTTGATTTGAAATGTGTTATTAAAGTGTTATTTATTTTAGTTTTTATTGATTGGATTGCTTTCAAGAATAGCATTTACATACTGTGTATTATATTCAACATATGGTTACATAGTATTACTGTCATATGTGAACCGGGCATATAAATTCTGCCTTGGAATTTGTATTTCTTGACCTTATCATGTGATCCTTATGAAATTTGGCACATATGAACCTTTATGTGATTTCAAAGAAAATACTGAAAGCAATTGATCGTGACGTTAGATCTGTGTGGTAAAGATCAAACACTAAGGTAGTGCATTCTTCTCTTTTTATATGATCAGTGAATTTAAAGCAGTGAGAATATGTATAGTAGATCCATAGTAACACCATACTATTCTGTCTTTCAAATATAATGGTCAAGTCTGGTGAAAGGATGGCAAAACGTCTGTTGCTGGTAGGATCTATAATCAGTTTGTAGGTACTATGTAACCTGCCAGGACCTGAGGGTCTACTTCTAGGTTTCAGCTATGTAGCCATCATCAAGAAAAAGCCATTATTATCAAATAAATAATACTGTGCCAGACCTATATGAGGAGACATAATTCTTCATTTTGAAGATGATACAATCTAGAGAGAGAACAATGATCTAATGGAGAAAACAGATATAAGTGATGTAGCTAAATAAATAATGAACAGACATGAATTAAATTGATATAGAAATATTAATATGATGTGTAAAAAAACTGGCAAGTAAAACTTCGGATGATAAGTAAAACAATTTATGAAAATCACGTATTCAAACTTGTATGGCAGAAAATGATATTATGAATATATAAAGAGTTCGTATAATCAATATAGATACTAATAGAAAAATGGGTTGAGGATAGAATAAGCACCTACTTAATGAAGAAAATAAATAATGAGTAAAGAAAAACAAATGGCATAAAACAGTTAAAAATATAAACATTAAGAGATAGTACATCTTAGCAATAATCAAAGGAAAAAATCTTTAAAAATAAGTAGAATTTTCTACGTATCAGGCCAAGACTAAAAAAATTGATAAAGCCTATGTAACACATACACACACACACACACACACACACACACAAATTCACTGTAGAACTGTTTATCATAGCAAAAAGTAGAAAACACCTTAGATGTCCATCAACAGATTAATGTTTAAATAAAAAATGATAATCCATACAATGTTTAAAAGAATCAAAAACATTTATATGTAACTGACATAGTAAGACAGCCATTTTATATTGTTAATAGTAAATAACAAAGCAGGTTGAGTATTTTTTTCATTTATTGACCATTTAGGATTCTTCTTCTAAAAATAAGTATTCATTTTTCTATTGGGCTCTTTTTCTTACTAATTTGTAGGAGCTCCTTATATATTACAGGTGTTAATGATTTGTTTGCAATGTGTAGCAAATGTTTTCTCTTGGTATGTTAGTTGCCTTTTAACTATATCCTGATGCTTTTTGCATGCATATTTTTTTCTTAATAGATGTGGTAAAAAATTATTAACATATCTTATGGATTTACCCCTAGGTTGATTATATATTTTCCTATAGTTTCTTGAAGCATTTTTAAAATTTTATTTTTACCTTTAGCTGTTTAATCCTTCTGGAGAACACTGTTTCATGAAAAATAGGAAAAAACTGCTCAGTCTCACTGTTAATTAAGCATACCCAAATTAAAGCAAGAAATACATTTTTTTTCACTCAACAGATTAGCATAAATTTAAAAGATTGGTAATATCTTGTGTGTGGGAGGAGGAAAAATTGATCCTACCATGTATGGTGGATAAGAGTGTAAAGAGGGTTGAAACGAGTGTCTACCAAAATCCTAAATATCCATGCCCTTGTAATCAGAAAGGACACTGTAGGAATCTATCTTAAAGAAATAATTAAGAATACACAGAAAATGTCCAAAAGAGTTGACTATAGTATCATGTGAAATATTAAAAATCTAGAACAAAATAAAACTAAATATCTATCTATAGAGAAATGGTAAAATAAATTATGACTACATTGTGAATACTTCATAGAATACTATGCTGCTGATAAAAAGAAGGGAGTGAATCTGATGTACTGATATAGAAAAGCTTTAAGCTGTCCTGTTAAGTGAATAAAACAAAGAAACAGATCACCAGCTTTAGTAAATTCAAAAGTAAAAGGCATATCTGCATACATACATGCATACATACACACATATCTATATATACTTTTTATTCTACTGGAAGACAATCATCTTCAGGATGATCCTAAGCTCAAACTGATATATGGACCTATAATTTATTGAGAGCTGAAGAAAAATAGGACTACATACCAAACATTTACAAAAATTAAAATAAAAAAACACTTCAAAGGACATTTGATTCCTATCTTCATCAAGGTATAGACTGGGGGAGCAGCAAATTCTGATGATGTGAATGAGAGTTTTCCAAGTAGGGGAGATGGGTTTTACGCAGGTTGCAGTGTAAAGTTAAAGGGCCTTGCCATCTGGCACCCAGCACAGGAGTCTGCACTGGGGCAATTAAAGAGGAATGGGACTTAATAGAGTCAGAATAAACAATCTGGCAATAGTAGGAAGGAGAATAGGAATTACGAATTAAAGAAAATGTAAAAGTCTAGGAAAGGTATCCAAGGAAGTAAAAATTTCAATGACTATTTCCCAACGAAGTTTTACTGGTCTAATGATATTATTGGTTTAATATTATTACACCCCTGGTTTAAAAAGTACAGCTGCATTTAGAGGGCTGCTAGAAAAAGAGAATAACTGAAATTAAGAACACTGAGGAAAATACAGGTTCATAGTTGATGAATACTGAATGTATGACAGGGCTGGTGGCTACTCTCCTAGTTTTGGCTAAAATCTCTACTCTGGATATGCCTGTAGTCACTGTGGTGAGATGAAGCAGCAGTAGTAGCAGAAACATATGTCAGAATCCCAGAGAATAGCTCAGGTTTGTAAGTCACTATTTAGTCCCTCTTGCCCTAATGGCTAGATGATGTGGGGCATGACTTCTAGACTTCCTGAAATGTCTTCAATTTAGCTTCTCCTGAATTCCATCATCAGACGTAGAAAATAGGACTCATATTACACATTCCTTGAGGTCAATATAGTTGGAAAAGCACCAGATAAACCAAGATTAAAGGAGCCTGTGAATATAATACAAATGGAGTGACAAATAGGGATGACTTTTTCATACTGGAGGCTCCTTTAGACTTCACCAGTTTTCTTCTTCATACTCAGCGAACACCTATTTATTTAAGTACAGGAAGCTCTCAAAAGAATAAGCTCCTGCTGATGTTGATGAGCACGTTTACATTTACGCTGTTGTCCCTAAGCCTAAGAAACAGGAGAAAGCCATATCTTATCAGGAGTAACAGAGTGTGGGAAATGGGTCAGAACAAATGACAAACTGCTCACAGCCATAAATCTTGTTCAAAGTCACTTAGAATTCACTTCAATGAGACATTGGTATTGACAAAATTATTTGTTTTTCTTCTGGGTTGACCTGGACTCCAAAATAAAATACTTCATCATATTATGTCACAAAGAACACTCAAAGGGAAGATTCAGAGTCTCAAGTCCACTCCCAGATGGACTAAGGTACTCTTGGCTTTTATAGAGACTTGATTCAGATTATATTCTTTGTGCTGGTAGATTACTTTGCTCTTCTTCACAAAACTTTCCTTTCACTTAACTGCTTGGGAGGTCTTCCTCTGACTCTGATAAAGTGATTTTTGTAGTGCTGCTCATTATTTTTATTTTTTAACCCTTAGCAGATATTCACAAAGTATGTCTTTGCTTAACATTTGAATTATATAAAATATAACATGACTCATGTGGCCAAAATGAAACTTTAAAAATGAACTTGTTTATTTTCTTTGCAATCTTCTACTTAAAAAAAATTTATTTTCCAAGCTCATACAGAACAGCTGAGTGTGAAGATTTTGTAAGCTTCCTGATTACTCTGCTTTGTTCTACTATGTGGCAGGATATTTCTTTTTCATAAATGAATTCATAAGCTGAATTTCTGGAAAGGTCCCAATGAGGAGACATTTTCCCACAGATT